GGAAACCTGTGCTCTTTCTCCCTCACACATTGTCTGGGCAGCAAGTTAAGAAAATACAATATTTAGAGGATTACGAGGAGGACATACACCCAGCATGGAGAGCCATAAATATTGGCATGTCTGGTTCTGCCTAATAGAGTGAATTAGCCAAAAAAATCTCCCCACGGAGAAACAGAGATCTAAGTCCAGATTTAAAATATAAGTGCTTTACTAGATAAAAGAGTTCAGCATATCATGTTCAAACATAAGTCTGAATGAAAAACCACGTTGGTTTCAGAGACCTTCTGGGATCTGATAATGTTAGAGCACAGAGTGTATGTGTAAGAGTGATACAAAGTGAATTAGGCAGGGAATAAATCATAAAAAGCATCCTAGAGTTTTGCTTGACGGAAAGGTCTTGTTTCCAGAAAATATTTAATTTATAGGAATTGTGTGGTTATAACTGAGTTTCCTTTGCTCAAGTTGCCAAATGGAAAATGCAGTACCCAAGCAAAAATGATTTGTTCATTTATTGAGTATTGTAATGTGCCAGAAACTGTGTAAGGCACTGAGGATAAAGACCTAAGGAAGAGGATACTCTATTGTAATTGATACTGAGGTTGACTGTTCTCCATCCCAATACACCCCCTTGCTGTAACAGGACTGACCTCGGAGACAAGGCTCGAGTGATTTTTCTAAGTCAAATATAATAATTCCATGTCCCTTTCAATGCCACATTTAAGCCAATCTGAGTTTTTAAATGTTCTTGAGATAATTCTTGTCCTTAGGTGGACTCATCATTCAGTTTTTAGGAGACTGATGGACAAACTGATTGATACACCGCTTTGTTCCAAAAACAAAGATTTCAGTCCAGCCTGCAGTTGTGCATGCAAAGTACCAGAATAAAGAACAAACTGATAAAGAGGTGCCTGGGTGGCAGACTCTTGATTTCAGCTCAGGTCATGATCCCAGGGTCGTGGGATGGAGTCCCACATCAGGATCTACGCAGAGCATGAATCCTTCTTGAAATTCCCTCTCTCCCCTGCTCTCTTTCTCTCTCCCTCAAATAAATGAAAATGAAACAATAAGTAAATAAAAGAATAAACTGATGAAGAATTGAGAATAAGGGGACTAAAAGGATAGTGAACAGCTACTAGAAAAAACAAATTTGACCCTAATGTTCCTAGAAGAAAAAGCACAAAAGAAAAACATGAATAGTTAATAAAAATCATCAACCAATTGAATGATAACAAAGCAACAACAATAGCTTATACTTAGTAAGTACTTATGTTCCAAGCACTGTTCTAAACACTTGTGATATATTAATTTATTTAATTCATATTAATTCATTTAATCTATAACACAACCCTATAAGTGTTTTCATCCCCACCTTTGAAAGGAGAAAAAGTGAGGCCCATGAAATTTAATTAAATTATTTAATTATCTAATAAGTACAGAGCTAAGAAGAAAAACAAAAACAAATGAGTAGCTCAAGGGAAGCACAGTATTCTTAATACATTGCCAGAGAGAAATATTTCTCAAGGGTCCTTATAAAGGGAGATTTTGCATTACAATAGTTAACTTGGTTGTGCAGTAATGCAGAAAATTCCCTGGCAGATAAATAAGATTTTTTGTTTTTAATGTCCGTGAAGGATAAGATTTAGAAGTAAAATCTGGATGCTCTGAAACATCTTTGTATTTCCTCTCAGTAGTTATGATCCTTTTCTCTGCCAGATGAGTAAGGTTTCAAGTTTCAAAAATACAGGCTTAAGCTGATTGTGAAATGAATCCTTCATTGGGGACTGGAAAATCTACTCACCTAGCAACTATCTTTCAAAGATACATACCGTATATATATTTGAAATTTCCAGTAGAATTACGATTTTGAGAAATATTCTTTCTTACAGTAAGTGAAATGCATCATCTTACACGAATTTCCTTCATCATCAATATTTTGGATTGTTTTCCACTCAGACAATGGCTCTGGCATTAAAATCATGGATAAATCTCTGGTGCTGGTTTATTAGGCATGTGGCCTAAACAGACATGGTCCCTTTGGTAGTATCTCCTCTCCATGCCTGAGTCACTTGGTTCTCCCCAGGCTTTGTCCTTCTCCTGGTCATTAAAAGCCATTGTCAGGAACGGATCTGAACAACTTGCTTCTACTAAAGTTAAACACAGGTGAGGCTTAATATCTACTTACATTTTAACCATAGAAAGAACCTGAAGGATCCAGTCACTGAATGTGGAGATTGTCTGATCTAGCCAACCTGGCCTTTTAAAGCCATATTACACGTTAAGAAAGGAGAATAAGGAAGAGAGAAGCAAGGGATTAACGTTCAAAATCTACACCTTACATTTCATTCTTAATCAAAATTATAAGGAAAATATTTCCTGCAAATGAAGAGGTGAATGTTTTCACTATAAGATTGCAGGGGTGCCTGGGTGGTGGGTGGCATAGTCTGTTAAGCGTCTAACTTCGGCTCAGGTCATGATCTTGTGAATCGTGAGTTCAGCCCCTCATTGGCCTCTGTGTTGACAGCTCAGAGCCTGGAGCCTGCATCAGATTCTGTGTCCCCCTCACTCTCTGCCCCTCCCCCATTTGCACTCTGTCTCTCCCTTTCAAAATTACATAAACATTAAAAACAAGTTTAAAAAATTTACAGCATTGTAGATGTTGTAATATACTTATTTTTCCTAAAGAATTTCAAATTCATGGGGCACCTGGGTGGCTCAGTGGACTAAGCATCTGACTCTTGATTTCTGCTCAGGTCATGACCTTGAGGTTCATGTGATCAAGCCCCACACTGGGCCCTACTCTGACAGTGCAGAGCCTGCTTGGGATTCTCTCTCTTCCTCTCTCTCTCTGCCCCTCCACTGTTCATACTCGCTCCCACGTGTGCACGCTCTCTCTCTCTCTCTCTCTCTCTCTCTGAAAATAAATAAACCTTAAAAAAAGAATTTCAAACTTACAAAAATGATAAAAAGTCAAACTTCTTTTTTAGGACCAGGGCAACACAATTATCCACAGATTACAAAATTCTATGAACTCTTTGCTATTGGCTTTTGAGACATAAAGACATTGAGAATAAAAATGTGAAAGAAATAATTTTGCAGTAGTTTGATAGAATAAGTTTATGTCTCTTGCAACAAATAATTTTAAAAATTATATTATTTTTTTAAATATCTTTTTTCTAGTAATTCATTTTTATTGTATTTTACAAAAGAATTGATCTACAATGGATTGGAGATATATCTACATATATATATATACATACACATAAATATATACATATATATACATATATATTTACATATATATGTGTATATATATATATATATATATATATATATAAAGAACTCCACAGTTTGAGAAGCACTATATTATAGTATAAATAATTCTGTGTTAAATAGGACACTGTCATATTTTGTTCTAAAACAAGTAAATGGTACCAGGTGTCAGAAGTTTAAAAATATTTTGTGGGGGAAATCTTCTATCCGCTAATGCAACTTTTATATGTATGTGTATGCATATGAACTAGAAAAAGATTTGCATTGTCTGATAATCAAATATATATTCAGGAATCAATCCTGGAGAAACACTATAATCAGGTAAAGAAAATATTAAATGATAACAAGATAAAATAATTTCCCAGAAGTTGTTGAAACTCAAACCGAGGAAAGGATGTCCACTGGGGCTGTTGAATTTTTGGCAAATGGCTGATAATGGAGGAAAGATTAATAGAATCATAAAAAGTTGGAAATCACAGAATCCTACTTCTTCGTTTTGACAGATGAGCTCGGAATAAGGAAGAAACTGTTGGAACTAAAACGATGAACTGGTGGGTGAGAACTGCAGTTCTCATTATATATACAGTTTCCATATATAAATACATCTTTGTTGCTATTTTGTAATATCCAGAATCAGATAATATTAGAGTGAGAGAAACCATCACTATCAAATAATACAGCTTCTAAATTTTACACATAAGACAACCATGGACTTACGAGGTTAAGTGAGCATGCCTGAAATTGCTCAGCACTTAAAAAGTAAGGTCAGGAGGATTATTTCATTCCCATTGCAGTAATATTATTATGAAGCATCATTTTATGGGACTTTCAGGTGAGTCATCATATTAATTCCTCAGGAAGAGTCTTCTACTCAGTCCTCAAAGGAGTATATTTCATAGGAATGAAGTTTTGCTTTTCTTAGGCACATCTATGAAAAAATAAGTTTTATTTAACAAATTAAATGATTGACCACAATGATAGGACCAGAGGAATTTTGCCAAGTAAAGATAATGGATTTGGAAGAATAATACAATTAATAAAAATAAGAGAATTTCAGGGTTAGAATAAACCTCAGCTAATTTATATACACTCTGGAACTACCATCTAGCCTACTCATAAGAAATATAGTAATGAGTCCAAATCCCACATTTCTATGTTTTTGGACTCATACACTGTGCTCATTGATTAAAAACAGAAGTTATTTCCTCAGTAATTGCAGGTACTAAGCTGGCCTCACAATAACCCTGTGAAGAAGATGTTATTATTACCCATTTTACACATGGATAATTAAAGGTGAGAGAAGTCAAGTAAGTTGTACATGTTACATTGCTTCTATAAAATCACACTTCAATCTGATCATATACCCTTATAAGCCCATATCTATTATACCATACTGTGGTCTAGCTAGTCAGTCAAAATGGGATCGTAGGCAGCCAAGAGAGCCCTGGAGTCAGACTGTCTGGGTTCAAATCCAGATCTCACTGCATAATGACTATGACTCTGGGAAAGTTATTTAACTCCCCTGTGCCTGCTATTTCCTTTCCTGTAAAATGGAAGTGGGACTACTATGAAGATTCCAAGTATTTAGCATATAGTAAGAACTCAGTAAACGTTATCTATTATTACCAAGGCTCAAGGAGACAACTCGAGCTAAAGTAGATCTCTTGGTTGTCCAGGGCACAGCAAAATCAATGTATTAACTCCTCTGTCCCTAATCTTCTTGTTTGTAGGCTCTCCATCTGGTGGGAAGAAAGCAATCCAGCTTCTCGAGTACTTCTCAAAGAAGTCATATATTTCTCCCGTGAAGGTAAACAGGCTCAGATATTCTTCATGCTAGAACTCGGTTGGAAGTATCAGCTTCTGATTCTCCCAGTGGCTATCACTATAACTTTATAAACAAACAAACAAACAAAAAAAAAGGAGAAAAATACGAAGATGGTAATGAAATAGTAAAATTAAAAATCAAATCAATATTCACCATAAGAAACTCTGAATATTATGCCTCTAATTAATAAATGTCTTGTTTAGGGATGCCTGGGTGGCTCAGTCAGTTAAGCGTCTTTTGATTTCTTCTCAGGTCATGATCTCTGGGTCTTGAGGTCGAGCCCCACATAAGGCTCCATGCTAGGCATGGAGTTTCCTTAAGATTCTCTCTTTACCTCTCCCTCTTCTCCTCCCCTGCTTAGGCTGTGCGCTCTCTCTCTCTCTCTCTTTCTCAACAAATAAAAAATAATAATAAAGAAATGTCTTGTTTAAAGCAATGGTTCTCAAAAGTGACATTAGCCTGAAAGTCTCTCAGGGTTCAGGTTAGACGGAAATGACCCCAAACCAATTACAGCAGGATCTCTGGGGATAGAGCTGAGGTATCAGGTTGTTTGTTTGTTTGTTTGTTTGTTTCAAGTTCCCCAGGGGGTTCTAATGTGTAGCCAAGGTTGAGAATCACTGCTTTAATGCTACCAGGTAAAAAAAAAAAAAGAAAAAAAGAAAAAATTCCTGAGGTTGAGTCTAGAAATCTAAATGTTCAGAAAACAATTCAGGTGATACTGATGATTGGTCATATTGGAAATCTCTGATTTAGAACACATGACACCCCAATAAATAGCCAAGGGCCTATATTTACCCTCATAAAGTTTGAGGAAACATTGCCAGTGGAGCTCTCAGACAGAAAATACTTGGTAATAGTTTGGATTTCAGTTCATGAAATTGGAAATAGATTGTCAAGATCTCCCTATTTACTAACCTGTAAACACCATATAGGAATTGCAAGTTTAAGTGGAAATTTAAATGTGTATTTCCTGCTTCCATTATATTTATATCATAACCCTTAATATTGAGCCAACATAATTTGTTTCTTACCTACCAGAAATTATTTTCGTATGCAAATTGTATGAAACTCAGCCTTTATAATACAGAAGAGACAGCACAAAAATCACAGCTATGTAGCAACCAAGCAAAAACAGTGCTGATTTATGAAACTTCACAGACTTAGAAATAGAAACAAAGCACTAAATATTCATGAAATCCCATACAGTGCTTGCACATAAGTTACATCTCAGTGATTTGTAACTTAGTTATAGGGAAAAAATAATAATCTGAGCACATCCAAACATATGGAACCTTTCAAGTGTTAAGTTTCACTAATTTTTTATCTTATTTTGGTCATAAATTTGGTCTTATTTTGGTCATATTTGAGTCATAAATAAATTATGAATATGTTGTAAATGGTTGGCCATAAACTAAACCTCCCAAAGAAAAGTAAACGAAGATTTCATCAGCAAAACAAGAGAGTAAGTATGGAAAAAAGAATTTAATGAAAATCTTCTCTGATTGCAATGTGTTTTTTTTGTTTGTTTGTTTGTTTTTTAACGTTTATTTATTATGTTTGGGACAGAGAGAGACAGAGCATGAACGGGGGAGGGGCAGAGAGAGAGAGGGAGACACAGAATCGGAAACAGGCTCCAGGCTCTGAGCCATCAGCCCAGAGCCCGACGCGGGGCTCGAACTCCCGGACCGCGAGATCGTGACCTGGCTGAAGTCGGACGCTTAACCGACTGCGCCACCCAGGCGCCCCTGCAATGTTTTTTTAAAAGTGGTAAAAGCTCTTTAAAGACACAAAAACACAAGTGAAAGAAGCAAGTAAAATTCTGTCACTCGACAAAGCAACATCATAAAGCTACCATGCAAACAGAGTTAAAATAAGAAAACAATCTGCCATGTACTCTTTGAATTAATCATAAATTCAAGAAATAATCTGAGAGCTAATATGATAATCAAGAAAATATTAAATTTCATTGAGTTACCTTGCCAATTTCAGTTCCAGTTTCATAACATAATTATCTCAAATTTTTTTAACTATACTAACATAAATACTAAGATTCAGACTTCAAACACAAATACTAAGTGCCTACAATCCACATTTAAAATAGTAAGATTAGTGGGGCACCTGGGTGGCTCAGTTGGTTAAGCAACTGACTTCAGCTCAGGTCATGATCTCACAGTCCGTCAGTTTGAGCCCTAGTCGGGCTCTCTGTGGACAGCTCAGAGCCTGGAGCCTGCTTCAGGTTCTGTGTCTCCCTCCCTCTGCTCCTCCTCTGCTCACACTCTGTCTCTCTCTCTCTGTCTCTTTCTCTCTCTCTCTCTTTCAAAAATAAATAAATATTTTAAAATATATTTAAAATAGAAAGATTAGAAGTATATCACTGGTAAAATCTAACAATTCAATCCAAGATCTATTTACTTATTTTAAACACATTGGCTTTTTAAAAATACATATAATTCAATTAACTGCTAAAAATCCCCTCTATTCATTTTTTTTTTTTTATTTTTGCAACCTCTGATATTTTTTTCCCTTCAGTGTGTAATAAACCATAATTAACTCCAAGTAGCTCTGGAACATAGTGCTGTTTTTAAACAACTGTTAAAGAACTCCTTTAATTAGAAAAAATTTACAATCAAGATATGCTCTTTTTGTGTGTGTGTGAGGGGAGGGTGCTAATTTTCAAGTGGCCTTAATTTACCTGTGACACAAATATATGGTCAGAGATGATGTATCACCTCCATTGAAACGCTCTTACTATTCTTAAAAAAGCAAGTGTGATACTGGGATGTATAAATAGTAGCTAAGCATCAGGAATGTGAGGTGACATAGCCAGTATAATACTTATACTGGTCAGACCTACATGAGCACCAATTATTTAGATTTACAAATTTAAGAGAGAGATGTAGACAGTAGTAAAAATGATCAAAGTCTATAAAAATGGAAACTCTAATGAAGGCCTTAACAAAATGACATTATTCAGCAAAGGAATTTTTTAACAATAGTTCTCAAGTATATGAAGAGGATGATATCAGCTGCTCGCCATCTTTATTGAGGAACAAATAAGCAAGAATGAGATTAAACTTCAGGAGAGAAGACTTAAGTGAGATAGAATAGAATTTCCCAAAAGAATTATATTTTTAGAAAGAGCAAATCATCAAAAGGTTCTGTGGAATTTCCTTCCCTGGAAGTATTTATAAATAAGACATATTTTTCCTTGTTCAAGAAGTTTCAGTGATGTCTTTCTGAGAGAAATAATCTACTATCATAGAATCTCAAGATGAAAAGATCATATTTCCCAATCACCATTTACTGCTATAAAATATACTGAAAACAGAGACTTAATATATAGTTATAAGAATTAAACACTCAAATAGTCCAAAGATTTTATGCTCTGTAGTCAAAATATGCTTAATCCCTATCAGATAAACTAAGGAAAATAAGAAACCATTCTCTTTCAGTTAACCAATAATCTTCCACGTGGCTATATGATTAAACTTTTTTTTTTTCAGGAACCTTATTCTATCATTGTATATGGAGGCAGTCTGCTGCCATGAAGGTGCACTAAGATGTCGGTGTCTTCCCAGCTCTCACCTGATGTAGGAGTTCACGGGCAAAGACTCATTCTAGCTCAAAAAGTCAGATGGAACCACACACTCTTTGAGGAGGCATACTTTCAGCATGTGACCCTCTCATCACAGCTTACCATAACCCCATGGGAAAGACAGGGACAAGCAATAACTTTCCAGTTCTAATACACTGTTCTTGCCGCTCTAGGAAGAAGATAAATAGCAAGTAAAGAAGAATCTGAAACAAGTTTCCACGTAGACCAGTCCTGCTCTCACTTTTCAATATTTTTAACACCTATCCTGCATACATAAATAGCTAACATTTATAACATATTGTGCTATACATACAATATATAAAGCACTTGTTACTAACGGTTTATATTCGTTCTACTTATTTAATCCTCACAGTTTTAAGAAGTTGGTACTATGGTTGTCATCCATTTTATAGATGAGGAAACTTTGGCAAAGATATGTTAATTTGTCCAAAGTCACTCAGATACGAAGCTACAGAGGCACAACTCAAACCTAGGCAGTCTGGCACCAGAGCCTCTGTGCACATTTGTGACATCAAGCTGCCTCTCTGCAGTTGAATTAAATATACAGAAAATTAGAAATCAACTATTTCCATTCCATTCCTCATACTTCAAAACACTATTAATCACTATGTTTCTAGGCTTCAAACACAGAGCAGGACCCTCTAAAGTTACAAAAATAAAATGTTGCTTTAAAAATATATAATTTTGAGAATTAAAATAATGGTTTATTGTCATAAATTCATTTATCCACAGGCAAGATCTCTCTTCTTATGTGTATGAAAGGAAGAAAACAGATTGACACTAATAAGCTGTTTCTTGTTTTTCATTGTAGTTTATTTGAAATGAGAAGCTCATGAATTGAATTGATAAGAAGTCAATTAACATATAAGGATATGAAGCAGAATGTATTTACACAAAAAGTGACTGTTGGCAAAGTAAACTGCTAAAGTCAACAATTGCAAGTAACATTTAAAAAGACAAATTACTAGGAGTTAGTATATAGAATATACATTCATTATATGCCTTTACTCTCCCTTATCACCAACTTTGAGTCTATCATAAATGTAATTATATCCTTGATTTTAAAGGTCCTAGCAGACATGGGGAAACCATGCTGGGACTATAAATGTAACCACAATGGCACAAGCTTACACTAGCTACTTCCAAAAATTAGCCCTGTGTCAACGCATCCAACAGCTATTTCTGATAATTCCTTAGACTACAGGTTTCTGTTACTTCTACAAGATCCTGCAAATTTGTCCATTTCAGCCTCTTCATCAGCCACCATGGTACAGTCTCTCCTACCACTAAGCTTGCCGAGATGGCTTCCCCGCCAGGGACAGGTATTCTCTGCCAGCGGCAGTTGCTGCTTGCTGCCTCCACCATT